CTAATCTACAGTATATAAATAACAAGAAATACCGTATTGATATTTGATTTTTACTTTATTTTTTTAAATAATTTTTTTAAACTTTATAATAATTATAAATAGAAAGTGCTATTTGATGAGCTTTCATTTACCATTTAGTTAACTTCAAATCCTTTGTTAATAACGAATTTCCATGGTGTAAGTTGAAAAAAGTAAATTTATTCTATTTGATGTAATATTAATAGTGATGGGTTCTTGATATATACTAAACGATGAAAAAGAAAGAAATTTCATTCTTTTCTTTTGAATTTCATCAATAAATTAGTAAGCTATATAACAAAAGATTGTGAGAATTGTGAAGAAAATAAAAAAAAACTATAAAAACAAGACTAATATTAATTATTAGCTTTTAGAAAAGACAGTAGAATAAATACGAGGATCCGAAGAATACATTAATTAGGACATTAATAATAGAATAGCTAAAGACGAAATCATATACAATGAAATGATAAGCGGCACTTTAGCTTTCTTTTACGTACAATTTATAAGATAAAATTCTATACAAGAAGAGAGTTAAGTTGGATAAGGATTCTTTTTACAATCGAGATTAGGAAAATTGTCAAAGAGGGAATGAAGAAAACCCAACTCTCCGGAAATAAATAAATAATGATAAAAATACATTGATTAAATAAGATCTTTTTTGTTCTAAAAAAATAAAAACAAATTGAAATACATATGATCTACCGTCCCTAAAACTTCCTGTCCTGCGGAATTCCTTTAAGAACATTACTCAGCAATCCAATGGCTTCCTTTTTTCGCATACTTATCCGCTAATACACCCAAGTCTCGTACGACAAATAAACAAAGAACGTTTGCAAAGTAGTCGGCAATTTTGAACAGCCGAGTTAAAATAGGCGCATAATGATGATGGTGTGGTGGCTTCAACGAGCTAAAATATAGAATATATTTTTCTTTTTTTAAAAAAAAATAAAATAAAATCAGTAACAATAGTTTTACCAAATTCATGTGTTGATCATTGTTAAGGATTTCTTACCAACAATATCAGCATTCTGAAAAACTTTAAGAAGTACATCTATATAACCATTGGCTTCCTCATTGCGGACCATGGCATTACTCATGCCCATTCTATCAAGACTTCGCGACAATTTAGATCCCCAATTCATAAGTGAACTTGTACTTTGTCGACCTTTACCGTGAGTAGATTCAACGTAACTTAATTTTCTCGCAAGCGAATTTTGAAGACCTTCTAGAATGGGCTCGATACCTTCTAATTCCTGTTATATCATAATCAATCATAATTCAATGAATTAGTAAATTCACATTAAACCTTCTCTAGATTATATTAATTCTAATATTTGTGCAGACCTTTGCAAGGACACCCATGTCATCAACAGAGGTCCTCGACAACTTTATTAGGCAACTTAAAACAACATCGCAGCTTGAAGTTTTTGTATCTATAGCAGTTAATTTTTTATGACCTTGCTGCCAGAGATTACAAGGAATATATAACTTTGGGGTTAGATACCCTCCGGTAGTCATTGTGCGTTCTAACAGACGCATTAACCAAAAAGGTCTCAAATGCACGTCGCTTGGCGGTGGTTCAGGTAACGCAGGATTTGATTTTGTAGGAAGACCCATATCTTCATCATATGTATTGGGAAAGGGGTTCATCAAGCAGGATATATATCCAGAATGAGTTGGTTTAGAAGGAGAAATCGATTGATCATTACGGAATCCGCTAGTTGGAGGACCAAATCCTGGGCTACCTAATGGAGGTGGTACGGAACCCAAATTACTCGTCCATGGGGAAGTCGGAGTCCCAGGGATTTGATACAGGGACTGATGTCCTGTTGTTGATAGTGTCTGGTTAAAGAAACGGACGGTACTTTTTCTAGAACTACTTCCAGGGTTGGATGCAGATCTTTTTGGAAAACCCGGAGAATGCGAATGATGGGAAGAAGGCGTAACGGCACCTGTCAAATTAGTATTTGAGGGAGAAGGGGTGTGTGGTATATTACGAGAATTGTAAATATTTTTCTGGGCTAGCGGAAGGGGAGCAGGACGTCGATTTTGTGGAGCTGATGGCTGAGGTTCTGGGGCCGGTACAATTGATTCCAGAGGTGCAGATTTAACAGAAGCTTTGTCGTCATCATCTTCATCTGGAGGAGTTGACCTTGATAATAAAGCAGTTGTTGTCTCAGATGTTGAAACCGGTGGTACAATAGAAGGTAACGTGGATCTTTCTAGAGATGGTTGATCTAGATGTTGTGGTGGTAAAAGGTCAACGGTTCCATCAGAATATGAATGTGAATGTGAATTATTGTTAGGAGGGGCAATTTTAGGTGGGGGTGGGGGTACAAAAACACGAGAATGACCAGAGTTGAGAGTGCGTCTTTCTGTCGTGTTTTTCAGAGATGTTTCTACTTCAAGTTGAGATGACGATGATGACAAAACAGGTGAATCCTTATTCGAATTTGACATCTGCTTTCCTTTTTCCTCTAATTTCTCGTCAGAATTTTCGCCAGAATCAGTATTGGAATCTGAGCCGTCCAAGCTCACTGCATATTCTGCAGTATCATTACTATCAACCATAGATTTTATTCCATTATATATTGATGTGGGTGTTTTGCTTGTATAAGATTTTTCTGTTGATGTGGAATTATTTGATTTGTGTGAAAGAATCGATAACCTATTTGATTTTGTGGATTCCGTGTGATCATCTCTTTTACTTGTTAAACTATCTTCAGTGCTAATGTGATCTATTACATTGGTCATACTTCCATTGACTTTCGTTGGTTCAACATTTTCGGTTTGTTTTATTTTTTCCGCATCATTATTCTGATGGATTAGAAGGTTTTTATTCAAATTTAAAGGTTCACCTTTACTAAATTGGTTTGAATTCACATCAGTTAAATCATTATCACTGTCATTTGTAGAACCTTGTACATCGAGCTCTGCTCTATGATCATCTTTCATTGTTGTAGCAGCACCGGATTCTGTAACTTTTTTCCGTTCCATCGATTGTTCTGATGTCAAGAATTTATCATTGGTCTCACATTCACTTAATTCCGGGTCCTGTTCTGTACCACTAGTATCATTTGAAGATGTACTATCAGATTCAGGGGCTATGGTCGATAACAATCGTATCCGATCAGCATAAGTGTCGTGCTAGAAAGTATATGAACAGATGTGAGTGTAAAACATTAATAATTTTAAAAAACCTTTTTTTAAATTAATTTTATTTTAAAGACATTGAAATTTGAACTTACAATTAATTGCAATCTTCGTCGATCAGCCTCGTTTGCAGATTTGACTATAACTTGCGATAAAAGTTCAACAGTTTGTTTATAGGCATCTAATGCGGCTACTACATTATTTGCAGCGTCAAATTGCACTGCAGTTTGAGCTTTTTGAAGTGCAACGGTTAATATAGATTTAGATTGCGTCCTGGGAGACGGAGGATTCCTGTGTATTGGAGGACTGGGCGTTGGGGATATTTCGTCACCAACTCTTTCACTATTCATATGACCCAGCGACGAAGGAGGTGGTGTTAGATGAGGCGATGTGTTTGTGGTCATGGCAAATTAAATGTGTTAACAAACGATAAGGAGTTGAAAAGCGAGTGTATATTAATGAGTTTTATTTATGTAATATTATTTTGTTAATACTTCCTTTCGACCCGAAGCTCGAATGTTTTGAAGTATTTTTTACAAAACACTAACCGAGTAACGGTATTGAAAGAAAAAATAATTATTTACATTATTCTAGTCGTATGTGTTTAATGCAATTTCATTTTCCAATTGGGTTTGTAGATGAATTGCATGTAATGTTACAAAATTACAGATAATCGGTTTCACAAAACTTCTGGAAAAACAAACTCGAAACAATTCATTATTTGAATATCTAATACACCAATCATGTAGCTCGTAGTCGTCGTTGAAAAAAGAATATGGTCACATCGAAAAGGTGATCATATTTTAAGAACTCTTATTTTATATTATTAATTCAAAATTTCTAAATACATCTTTTAAAAATAAAATATTACTTTTTTTGTTTAATAAAATTATACTTTTTTTAAGTTTAACGCAGTTTGATGCAAATCCTTTAATAAAAAGGTTTCTTATAATATAATGAAAAAAGATAATTATATACTCATTATATACGTATATTGATTGTGATTTAAAGAATAAATT